AGGAACTGGAAAGTCCCAAAGCCAGTGCGTACAAAAGCGAGTTCACTTATGTTCTTATTTGTAGGCACAGACTCCAAAAATGACTGCAGGTTCCATTAGGCAGGAAACAGTCACAGGGGTTTGAACTTTAAATCGCAATTAGCTGAACTTTCAGTCTGACTGAAAAGATTCTCCAAGGAAAACCCCTCTTTCTCTCAGTTGCCATCTCACATGCCTGCAAACTCATTCATATGACGAGCTGCTCTGTCGTCCCTTGGGTGGGGTCAGCTCCAGCAGCTGCAGCAAGGGAGGAAAATCACAGCCAGCTGCTACTGATATTACTGCTCATGCCACTGTAAGGAGGCCTGTGATTTGGCAGGGAGGAAACTGATAAACATTCAGGCCTGACACAACCCTTTCTGCCACCAGTATTAACAGCAGCCATAATGGTCACTGATAATTACAGTGTCTGATGGCTTTGAAATGATTATTACCTCCCTGGGAGTGAGAGACAGCTGCATGTTAACAGCTGATGAACTTCTGGTCTAGTCTGCAAAATGACTAACAGCTACACCAAACTGGCTTCACACCTACAGTTATCGATAACCCACAGAGAACAGTCCAAACCACCAGATAGATCACAAAGAAACCCTTACAGGTAAAGGCAAAGAACAAAATAGACTGTGGATGTGGGTTTTACTTGGTAGCAACCATCAGAGATATATTGGTGACAAACCCAACCTCTGTCTTGCTCTCTCACTTTGCTGGCCTTCAATTGGCATTTTGAACTTCTCTAGTCTAAGAATTCAATTTAGTGCTGAAAAATGAAATTTGATAAAGCATGCTCTCAGTTACCAGCTGATGCTAAAATATCACGTGTTTTGAACACCATGAATTGTTCCAGTACAATGTTGTATTGTTTTCAAAGTAGGCAAGATTACTGTGGTAGGTCATGTTTGTTTCATGATTATCCTCCCTGTGAAGTTACAGTTTACAGGTAACTATGTACATTTAGCCTTGGTCCTGGAAAAAGCAATTTTAGAGGAGAGTTTGGCAGAACACCTTCCCTCGCTCTCTTGCATAGGGTTCGCTTTTAAAAAAAAAAAAAAAAAAATCAGTTTTTTAATAACGGAATACATGTCATATGAAGTTGAGAATTATCATCCTCTATCTTGAATGTGTTTTCAAACACTTATCTATTAGTGCAGGAATGGAAATGCGAGGAAAGAAGACCAGAAAGCAAATGGAGAAGCCTTCTTACAGCGTCTCTGGAATTCCAAAAAACTTTTAAAATCTTGGGCTGACTTATCCTCTTCTTATATAAAAAGCTCTACTTTTTCCCTGCTTCTCTACAATGTATTCCACTACCAGCCAACTACATTCAGAACTAAAACTATCCTTTTATCAAAGAAGAAACAGAGTTACCAGAGGTCTTCTACTGCATCTTCTTACCCAAACTGTCCTTTAAGGATGTTTATCTAGTCTGTCCTTATCTAATCTGTCCTTAAAAACAATGTCTCATAGAAACCTATTTTCAAACCTAATTACTGCTGCTGTCTAGCCACTCCCTCTGAATACCATCTCTTCTCTGGCAAGAACATTGCCATCTTGCATTGTTTGCCCTTTGCTTTTTAATTAACCCATATCCCACAGAGCTCACCAGAGCTTCTTCCTCCACCATGTCGGCAACGCAGTTTTTACTTTTTCTGACTTTTCACATATCTATAGGCTCCACTCCTATTATACATGAACTTGATTGCTGCTACTGTCTTTTTTTATTCCTCATTTATTTTGCTCTGTTCCTGACAGTTGTGATCCAAATTAGTAGAAATATCTGCAGAGGTTTACACTAAGTTCTTGATTGGATACATTTCAGATTACTTCTCTAACTTAAATTCCTTAAGACTTCATGCTATCTATATAACTAATTTCAGTTGCTTCCTGCAATCCACCATGCTCCTTGCCATACAACCAAATATCGCTTTGAGATCTACATTTTTCCTCACTATATTTTCCTGCTCTCTTCCATAAGTTCTTTCATTTGAAATGGCAGTTGTTCTTCAATGAAAACATTTTTTTTACCCCTTCAGGAAATTCTTGAGAACCCGTCTTTTCTACAAGTATTTTAGCAGTAATGAGCTCATGATTCTCTCTACTGTTTATACCTGTCTATCAGCATCTCAGGACATCTCATCCTGCTGGCACATTCTTGCTACAGTAGAACCTCATGCACGTTTAGGTGCTAGGTGAGTAACTGCAATATTAATACTGTCTTCAAGTCCTGGCCTATAAAAGTCATGGGAACTGTTCTGGAAAGAAAGACACACCAGGTATGGGGGAACATTTCATTTAACCTTGGCTAGAGCTACCAATGGTTTTAAAATCATTGAGTTTAAAAAGTTCTTCCTCAATTGTATGATGCTATCTTTCCTCATTAAGCCTTTCTCTGAGTTCTTGTTTTCAAGGTAATGGTTCTGCATTGTGGTGAACACCAGTAACTAAAGAATCAACAAACATTTCTCTAAAGACTGCAAGACAATCCTCTGCCATGGTTTGTTGGCTCTGTGTGTGAGAGTATTTCAAGGGCAGGTATATAACCTTTCCCTTAAACGATGATAGAAGTTCAAGTGAACCTTAATAAAGTCTAGTTACTTTGCAGCTTTGGGAAAATAGCCAAGATACACACTGTAAAGACTAAGTGAAAATAAACTAGCACAAAGAGCTTCTTCAAACTGCTTTATTTACAAATTTACATGATGGATATATAAGCCAAGAGGCAGGCAGGTCCCTTTCTTTGTGACTGACTGATAGCTATAGTAGCCCTGTCTCAGAGCCTTACCTTGTACTGAGACTCCGGCAACCTCTGCAGTGCTAATAGCTAAGCTCCTCCCTCCCACTGGTGGACTCATTCTCCCTCTTCTCATTTCATCTTTACTACTACTTGTATTCCAGCTTCTTCCAGTTTGGGGGTCAAAATTCTAGGATTTGCTTTGTGTTAATCAAGGAAAACTTTGAGAGAAATATTTTTACAAATATGTAATGCTCACAGGGGAAAATCTCCCCCAGAATCGTCATTAACCAAGATGTCAGCATCTATGTCCTCCTGGATCCAGACTCCTTAGACAACAAAAGTCACGTCAATACCATGAGTACACCTCACTCACATGTCAGTGACAGTATGGTCACAACAGCGCAGAACTCAGGATGAATAAGTTTTTCAGCTGCTCTCTATATCTCATCTTCCCTTTAGTAATCACGTTAACAGTACTCCCAGGTCCTTTCTAATTTTGCCAAATTCTGTACTAAAAGAATCAAAATTCCAATTCAGGAGCAGATCTGAATTTTGTCTTCAAGCAAGGTGTTTCCCAACAGCACTGGCCACTACTCTATGACACACAGCAAAGTCACTGGTTTAAAAAAGAAAATAAAACCACCATCAACTACTGTTTTGAAGTCATTACTGACTACAAAGTCATACTGGAATGTACCACATACCAACTAAAATATATTGTAGCTATAGTCTAATACCTTGCTGAGCCACTAAAGAAACTTCCCTGTGGGGCATATGTGAAGTTTGACATACTTTTTGTAACTATGCTGAAGACTAGATGATGGAGTTTTCTGCTATGTCTCACTGTAAAAATGCATTATTCCCAGAGTCAGTGCAGACCCTGCTTCTTTAGGACGCTCCTGGCAGCTCATAAAAGCAGAAATCAGTTGAGCAGGCGGTAACCAAATAATTATAATACTTATACAGCATACAGACTTGGACCAAGCCAAGGTTTTAAACACATCTCAGACATACTTTATTTGCCTACAGTACCCCTGCCCTTTCTCTAAGTGCTTTATCTATATACCTGATTTTAGCAAGAGCATTTTGGTACAACAGGCAATTTTAAAAAGAAAAGCAATGAGGGTTCTTCAGCTATCACAGATGCGCTAGGAACTGTTCACTCCGACACACCCATTCACAGCCCGGCAGCGCTGCAACCATTACAGAAGTATCCACTGCTGCTCAAAAAAATGAAATATATGTTTACTATAGACACACACAGAGCTCTTGGGTGACAATGGCCATGAAAAATGTATTTTGTTAGACTTCTGGAACCAATGAGTATAAAAATAATGTAGAAGCATAATTGTTATGCCTAACCACAAAATGCCTCGAGGCAGTTGCTGTCACAGTGAGAGTCTGTTAAAAGCATGGCCATTTCCCTCAAACACGGTTAAGCCTGCACCGTGTGAAATTTCAAAAGCATTTTGGAATTTTGGACATAAAATTTTTATTTTTTTCTCTGTATTAATGTTTCATTTTTAAATACAAATATTTGACGCAGATAACCAAGCTACAGAAAGTTAATTGATAAACAACTGAATTTTGTGGTCACTTCTAACCCCCTTTGTTCCAAAATCTCATCAGTCAACCCCAAAGAAACCTTAGGGAAGTCAGAAACAAGCATGCTTGGCATAAAAGCGCTCCAAATTTCAGTTACAGATCACTGCAGTTTTGCTTCTGTTCAGCAAGGCTGTGTCCAAATGCAGCATGTATTAGCTGTTAGTTCAGCCCATGTAAACTCGAGAATGCAGTTGTATGCTGGGGCGGGGGGTGTCCATCCCCATCTACCTCATCCCCTTCTTTTCTCTACTGTCTGAAACGGAGCTGGGAGAGCAAACTAAGTATGTAACAGCAGTCACATTGACGAACCAAGCTTTTTCCAGAGCTATTCTAAATTTCCTAGTGTACTTCTGTTCTTAGTTTAAACTTAACTTTAATGACCTACAACTCACTTTTTAAAGATCTGGAATTTCCCTTTACAAGCAATACACAGCTTTCCATGATTGTACAGACCAGCACAGCTGAGGTTACAGTTCTAAAGCATCTCTGATAACTCTTACAAATAACAAAACTTTATATAAAGACAGATGCAAGAAAGCTGTTAGCTATCTAGCAGAAGAGCTCTTGCTGTCTGAAGCATAAACTTATTAGCAACCATAAGTGTTCTCATTCATAAAAAACTTACGTGTTTCTGTTAGACAAAGCTTCAGCAAACATAATCCAAAAGTTGCCCATAAGGAGAAGTTGGCCATTGTTTTCTCGGAACTGTTTTGCAAAAAACAGAGATCCTTGCAAGCTGCAAAAAGAAGAAAAGCCCCGACGCTTGTTAAGCCTGCAGTCAATGAGTCTGAAGTTTGCTGCACTTTTTATTCTGATTCAAAGGAACTGAAGTAATGACATAACTGGGAGGGGGAGCTCCATCAAAAGTCACACCCATATTGCAACAAGAGTTACCCAGCAGGGAAAGAAGGGGGGGTGGAAGGGGAACTAGCACTGACTAAGCAGCCACACTCGAGTTTTAAAGAGGCACTAAACCTCCTCTTCTTACACAAGTACAGTCAAAAGTTATGCTTATTGCGCTTGCAGGAAAATTTGTGTAATCTCTCGTGAGTTAGCTCAGAAAGGTATTGTTTGTTATAAGCTTCCCCTCCTGCATTTTAAAATCTCCTCATTATTGCAAACCAGGTGAACATAAAGCATTAGAGCTTCTGAACTCCAGCAAAGCGTCTACAACTGCCTGGATGTTTCCCAAAAATATTTTGCGTATTTTGTCCCACCTCACTGTTTTCTCTTTTTGCAGTTCAATTTAGAGCAAGCAAAATGCCTGCTCTGCAATGAACCTTTCTAAAATGTTTCTGCTCGTCCCTGGAGGATAACCTCATGCAGAAGGTAAGTCGAGGCAGTTCAGTCTCCCACAACCCATTCTACCTTTGGCTTCTCTCCACAGGCTGCTCCAACAAAAGTGGTAACTAATGCCAGTGCCAGCAGTGATACTGAGGACTAAGGCTGATATTTTATTGTATTGATGGTGTGAGGTACTGAAGGAATTATTCCTCCTATTCCCAATTCTCAAAGCAGAGAAACAGGATGAGAACGTATGACATTCAGACAAGGTCTCAGTTCCTGAGGGACATATGTTTGTTGCAGTGGGGTTTTGTGTGACTCTAGATGCCGTGTGAAATCCCTGGTGAAAACCTCAAAGCCTATGTAGGTAAGTGAAAGGCATGTCTGTTGTGTTCCTTAGCCATTTCTCGTGGTGTCTCCATACACTGGCCTCTCTTCAGAGCTGCAGAATCGCAACAGTGGTTTGTGTTCAGTGGAATGAGGGGTTGGTCAGGGATCACCAAAGCCAGTACATCTCACCTTTAACAACCAACATGTGGCAATAACTGACAGCCAGTAACGCCCCGATTTCAGTTTCGCTCGGCAAATTTGAAATGAATAGTTCTATATCAGATTACCATTTTGTCGTTCCTCCCACTTGAAAGAATTTTCTCATTAATTTTTAATCTCTGTTAACACAAACAATGGAAAAATACAGACTGGTCTTTCCAGCCACAGGCACAAGAACATTACATAAAGAGGTTTTCAGGACTTTGCCTTTTCTTTAACTTTTGACTTAGAGATGGCTGGCTATCCTTTCCTCAGTCAGCCAAATTTTTAGCAACAGGTTCGAACAGGCTTTTCCTACAGGTCTAGAATATCTGATGGGACAAGGTTAAAGTGAAAATCTTTCCTTAAAACACAGGGGATCTTTTTATTAAGAAGCTAGCAACTTTGAAGTTACAGATAAAACATGTTTTATTTAGTGAATACGCTACTTTTTCTTTTGAAACAAATGGCTTTAAAAGCAAGGAAAAAACAATCTCCTATACACCTTACTGTTCATAGTAGTGGAAAAGAAATAGTTCTGTGAATTCCTCTATGTTTATGGCTATAGATATTTTGGCATATGATATACCAAATATATGAATGAAGTTTAGTGGGATTTAAAATGCTGGTGCACAGTTAATGCATATTGTAAGTTTACTTAGCATTTCTTTTACTTCAATTGCTAAATTACTTTTAAAATTTACCCCTATGGATGAAACAAAAGAATGGAATTTTTAATTAAAATTTAGGTATCTTTGAGTCTTTTTTTTTTGATGAACATAAAATACCTCTCTGTTAATGTCCTGTATTCACAATTATATGGAATGAAAAAATGAAAATAAGTTTTCTTTGGCACAGGTAAATGGAGAATAATGTCCATTTCAGGAATGTGGCCAAGTGTTACAGAGGCAAAAGTCTTATTTTACCAGAGTGGAAATTCCTAGTCTCTTCATGGTCTGAAGTCTCTAATTCTAGCCCTTCTGACATCAGATTACGAACAGATTGTTTTTCTCAATACTGAATATTATTTGATACACATCTTAGACTTCTCAGTACTTCTGCATGTGTTTGGTGGGGGTGGGTGGTATCCCACTTTGGAAAGTCTCTCTCTTGCTTGTTGCCCTGTAAAATTGGACTAAGACTAGGCACGTTTAGACCAGGTGCATGGATGTACCTAATGCAAAAGGAAAAGACAGATGTATACAAGAAAAATAATTCATCACAGTACGTCATTCCATGTGATAAACACAGAAATAATTAATGAACTGTATGTATATAACACACGTAAGTTTGTCCATTTCACATGCCATCTGCCTGCTTACACGCCAACCTAGGACACATACTTGCATTCCAACACACTGAGCACTTCAAAGTGCTGCCGTTAAGAAATAAATAAAAAAGCTGACACAAAAATATTTCCTTCTTTCCCACCCAAACATGGAATTTCTCCCCTAAAATATGTTGGCCTGAGGTAGACAGCAGTCCAAATTTAGCCTGGGTGCAGGGCCTGATACTACCCAGAAAATTTAGTCAAAGAAGACGTACAGCTCTGGGAAAAGTTTTTTTGGTTTTGGGGGTTTCCTAGTGAGAAATACATAACTTTTCCTTTAGCTTGGGATAATCTTAGTTTATAGGAACAGAAAAATCCTAAAGCAAATCTTCAGGTGAGGAAATGCAGCACAGCATCACTATAAGCTGAGCATATAATTTTATTCCCATTGTGGATTTGTTCCTATGACATTATTGTTAACAACACAAATCACATAGTTAAATGTTTGAGCTTTTGAAATTTGCTTACTCCCTTGGCAAGAAGCAGTTAAATTACTGGCACTAAAATTTTCTGAAATAATAAATGGCACCAAATGAATTAAGTTTTCAAAAGAGAATGAAACAATACAATAAAAAGGATGAAACACCAGCATTTCAAAAAGTGTTTTCTGTGAAGCCTTTGACACAGCAGATACTGAATCTATGATGGTGCGATATAGTACAGGAACACCAAAATAACCCATTTGTGATTTTATCACATACGTGAACTGTAGCCAGCACCAATTAATTTTGATAGAAATCCTATTAGGGAGTACATTTGTTGGAGCCCTAGAAAAGGAACATGCATGGCATACAGCGATATAAAGAGATGAACTTACAATGAAAAATATTACACCAATGGAAATCGGTTTCACTATCAAATGGGAACAACTGAAAGGGGGGAAGAATGGAATTTTTTTTCAGTCAAAATAGCTGTCATTTCTATTGTAAAAACCAGAAACTTTGAAAAAGGAAGCTCCTAATTTGAAAAACTTTTTTTTTCTATTATCAGCAGAAAGACTTTTTTTTTTTCCTTCATTAAAAAAATCCTTTTCTGAACATATTTTGGTGGAAATTTCAAGCCTGTTATGGGGAGTTGAAGAACATATGCTTGGTGAATATAAAAAGCACAAACCTCATTAGGTAATTCTGGTCATGGCAGCATACATTCTGCATAGACTACAGCTGGTCTGTGAGACTGGCTGTAAGTCAGTTTCAGGGGGGAGGAGGGAGGATTTATACCCATTTAACTGTAATCTCAATAAGATATGGTATTTTTAATAAGATTTCCTCCTGTGTCCCTAGACTGTAATCTTGTTTCCTGCATTTCAGACCGGATTTTATTTCCATGATCAACCCTGAAACCAGGTTTTGTAATGGAAACAGTTGTAAATGCTTCAGTGCAGCAAATCCTGTACTGCACACTTTTCTTGGGCTCTGAGTGCTGATGGGAAGGCATAAGAAGAGCCTGTGCTGGTTTAAGCCAGAAAAGCTACTCTTTTGGCTGGAGGGCAAAGCACTCCCTTGGGAAGTTGGGCACCCGGTTCTACTCCCATCAACCTTTTGTTCCTAGATGTAATTTACAGCCTGTGTCCTGCAGAGAGTTAGGAAGATGAACAATGGCTTCTAGTTGTTTACTTCTGAAAAAGGCAGCAACCCAGATTGGCACCTACCGCGTGGATTCATCAGCCTGTTTTACTGGTTTGCCCCAGATCCCTAAACAACTCACTAATCCAACACAGGCAAAAATCTTAACAGCCAGAATCGCTCAAGTAGGCCATAGGAAACTCTTTGCAGCAAGGTTTCTCCTGCGGCAGACTATGTGGCCCCATCAGCTTTCTTGTTCTTAGCACCATCCCAAAGCACTCCGTCCCTGGTTGACCCACATGGCTCTCAGCAGAGCACAGGCAGGTAATCATAGTACCAGTCCCCATGCACAACTTTCACACCACTATACCCAGTTAATTACTACAACGTAGTTGGAGATGGGGCAGGAAACCTGCACACAGCAGCTGCCACCAGATGTCCAAGCATGCAGCACAAACATGCTGAATGCATTAGTGACTAACTGAGCCACAAGCAGCTGTGTAGAGGGCTGGGGGGTAGGGGGAGTACAGGGGGAACTGAGGGGAGAAGGGGAGACACATTTTTCTCTGTAGGTGGTTTCAGTCTGTCTCTGCCCCTCCCCCCTCTTGTCGGCCCTGCCGGCACACACCACGCAACAAGAACCTGGAAACCCATATATCAGAGTATGAGCTGCCATCTTTGCGCTAAGCATTCTGTATTCCCACTTTTGTTTCTTTCATTTGCAGTTTAACAATAGGTAAGTCAAGTTTATACCAGGCCATCTCCAGGATGTGTTCTTTCTCATCTCCCTCACTCTCCTCCCCACCGTCTTTCCATTCTCTTCCTTTTGATTTTGCTTCTTGACTTCTACCTCGACTTCTCTCTCTCTCATCTCCACTCATTTCTCCTTTTTCTTAGCCCCCATTCTTTCTCATCCACTCTCCCTTCTATGCAGCATGTTGGAATAATTAAATCAAACATTTAAAGCTCTAGAAGAGCAGGTGAACTTTACAAAATTCAAACATTCACACAACTCAGGAAGCACTTGATATTTGCATAAGCAAACTGTTAACTGTACCTACAGATA